TTCTCTTGTGATTCTTCGGTTAATTGATTGATTGCGACCTTCTGCGTCCTTTTACTCTTTTCTGAGACTTTGTTATGATGATCTTCATGAAATACAACATCTCTATTTACAGTTATCTTCTTTATCCTTCGATCGATTAACCGATATTTTTTAATATTTTCGTTGTAACCGATAATAAATATTAGTTCTTGTGCCTTTGAATCCCACTTGTCTCTTTTTTCTCGTGGTACATATGCTAGAGCTTTGCTATTAGATACTCGTAGGCATTTTATGCCAGATTCTCTTCCGCTTCAAAGTTCCTCCGGGGTTCTTCTTTGTAATGCGCTAGCTGAACTTCTGTTAAGCAAATAAATCACCGTAGACATCGCTTCAGCGCAGTAACCTTTCGGCAGGTTTGCATCTATTAACATACATCTGGCTCGCTCAATACTATGCTACAATACTACGGTTCGCACACTCGACTAAACCATTCTGCTGAGGGTTGTACGGAACTGTCGTTTGATGTGCTATTCCTAACAATTGTAGCAAATCTTTGAATTCTTTACTTAAGTATTCGCGGTTATTGTCCGTTTGAATCGATTTTATTTTTCTTTCTAGTTTACTTTCCGCATACACTCTAAAATTTTTGAATGTTTTAATTACCTTGCTTTTAAGAAATATACAAACTTCTTACGGCTGTAGTCATTTATAAAAGTTATAAAAATTTTTGCACTGCTTAGCGATTCCGTGGACATAGATCCGCAAATATCCAAATATATTAACTCTAAAAGTACGCGCTCTCGCTTACCGCTAAATTTAAACGGTTTCCTACTTTATTTGCCTTGTACACATATATCGCATTCTTTTTTCGTCATCTCGAAGCCTCTTATAGACTTGGTTGGACTCTTGGTTAGCTGCTTCATTCCTCCTCTGCCGAGATGCCCCATGCGTCTATGCCATAGGCCCCCTCGCTGTTCCATCTCTGTCCTAGCAAAGACTGTCTCCGACGTTTTGCATAGCTTGTACATTCTTCCATATGATTTGGCCACCGCGACTAATTCTCTATCCGCATCGTGTATACTGCATCCGTTCTTGGTAATGTTGACTTTGTAATCTTTCTGTATTATAGTGTCTATAGAGAGCAAGTATGCGGCTAGTCCTGGAACATATAATATATTTTTAACGCGAATGACTTTTTCGACTCCGTTCACAGTGACCTCGACTTGTGCCGTTCCGCGGGCTACTGCTTTTAATTGACCGTAGTTTATTGCCGTTATGGTTTTGTTGCACTTCTTCATTTCTCTCAGACAGCTTGCCTAGCCTGTCATGTGCGTTCAATGCTCCGGAATCGAGATACCATTCGTCGCTTTTTGTGCTTGCTCGGATTGCGAATGTCCTGAATACTTTATGTATCGAGCTATCCTTCTCCTTAGATTCTTCTCTCACTTTATTACAACACTTGACTACAAAGTGTCCGATCTTGCTGCATGCGTAGCACCTGCTTTTCGTCCTTTCTTATTATTTTTCTTATTACCCTTTTTACGTGTCGCTTTCACCTTCGAGTATAATGCCGCTTCCGTTTCTCCTGTTTGCTTTCTGTTGTATCTGACTTCTTGGAATAGCTTTATCTTGATTGCACTTGATGTAACGATTGTACCGGCATTCTCTAGATCCATGATCATGGGCTTGTACTCGTCGGGTAATCCAGATAGTAGCAACGCTCCTTTCATTTCTTCTTTGACTTCAAAATCAAATTCTTTTAAAGCATGGGCTGTCGTTGTTATTGTGTTAACGTATTTTTTTATGAAATTGCAATCTTATAACTTGGTTGAAGTTAAAGTGCATAATAGACCTACTTTCCGCATAAGCCCCTTGCCTTTGAACGTGTTCTTTAGGTTCTCTCACGCTGGTCTCAGGGTTTCCGCGATTTGTATGTGCCCGTAATTCTGTTTTTGCACCGCTAAGACAATCTTCGCTTTCGCCTTAGTCATCTTCTTTATGTCCGCTATGCAGGGTGTCCGGTAAAGATTGCGCCAACGCTCGTGAGCGGGTAGAGCACAGTAAACTGAACAGAAAAGTCCTGTAATATTTTTTTTATATAACGCTTAATAAAGGGGTTATTATTGAGTAAAGTCTGGTCAATCAGCGCCGACTTTTAGCCGGGCGCACGTCAGTGAGCCCCGCGCGCCTAGTAGTGTGCGGCGGCGCACGCTGTAGCGACGAAGACGCGCTCACCACTACCAGGTGCGCGGCTAAAGGTCGACGCTGATTGGCAGACTTTACTCAATAATAACTCTTTTATTAAGCATTATAAAAAAATGTTACAGGACTTTTCGGTTCAGTTTACTGTGCTCTACCCGCTCACGAATGTTGGCACAATCTTTACCGGACACCCTGTATACATCTCCTCTCCAAGTACATAGCTCCACAAGTTTTCGGCTTTTAAACACGCTCGCAAGCTTATTAAATCTGTCTTGTTTTAATAAGTTTTAATACAATCAATGCAATTTTTGTCATTCAAAATCATTATTCTATTATTTGAATAAAAGTTTATTTCCTATCGATCAAATACGTCTTTTTCTCGAAAACAATTAGTTTTTACGGAATGAAATAAGAGTACTTTTTTTAAGAAAAAGATTGTGTGTGTAAAGAAAAAATTAAAAAAAAATTAAATGGAGCGAACATATCAACTTCAAAGTTTTGTAGATTAGAAGGCTTAAAGGTGATTCCCCACTGCCCCTCGTCTCCGACGTAATATCAAGAAATCTATCATGCTATTTTAAAGATCTCTATTTAATATAAAAATAATTATTACAAATTATTAAAATCTACGGAGTGATATAAAAGTTATTTAAGAAAAATGCTTTTCAAATTTTAACTTTAAAACAAATATCTCAGTAGAGAGAGATATGTTGTAGAAAAAATGTTGATAAAAGTGTATTAACGGACCCAACCCCAATGACCTTGATCTTGACATATGTTATCAAGGTCATCGTCCTGAGTAATTCTCAAAAGATTTTAGCCGTCGCTCGTTGGCCATTAAAAAGTTATTAACAAAAAAACTTTACTAAATGAAACATAATTTTTTGACACCATGTACATTTAATAGAGCGTACCTTAGCAGAATAATTTATTTATGTGTAATAAATCGAACGCGTAGGCGGGAAAGGGGCCGAGCCTTTCCCCCTGCACCCCATCCCGAAAAAACTAACCTGACCCAACCTATGTCCAAGGGATTGAAGTTAGGGGGTGAATCTTTATTTTAAGTAATAATTTACCCTTCGGCATATGTAGTAGAGTCCACCCCTTCCCCACTGACATATGTAAGTTATTAATATATTATTTTCCTATAGAAGAACTATTCACCCCGAATAATGTTTCACCTCTAAGAAATAGATTGGGTTAGATTCGTTTTTTCGGGATGGGAGTGCATGGGGAGGGGCTCCGCCCCTTCCCTGTCCACACGTTCGATTTACTACACATAAATAAATAAATTTGTTAAGTTACGCTCTATTAAATGTACATGATGTTTGAAAATTACATATAATTCGTGGAAATTCTTTTGTTAACTTTTTAATAAACAACGAGCGATGCTTAAAACCTTTGGAGGATACTCAGGACAGTGACCTTAACAACATATGTCAAGATCAAACTCATTGGAACTGGGTCCAATAATATGCACTTTTACCAAAATGTTGTAAAAACTTATGGAGAAAAAGAAGAGAAAGAGAGAGAGTTATGTTTACATGCTCTACATAACAACGAGAGATTGCCCAACTTTACCGGGACACTCTGTATATATATACATATATCTATACGCGAGCCGCCTAGTCACGCGCATATCTGCAAATAAGAACATGATATAAAGTAGATAGATTATTTTTTCACATAATTATATTACATTGTATATATTACAGAAATATGCTTTACATTGAACGATTGATAGAAAACAATAATATATATAATTTGCTAATTTTTTGTGCACTCTATTAATACATATTTATACATATTTTATACATATATAAATTGTATACTTGTATATTATGTCACACTTTATTTATCTTATGGATAAAACAGTTTTATTTAGATTGTTGTATCTGACAAGAATGATTAAACTTTCAGTCGTTGTCCACGCCAACGAAATCTTGGTTCGAGTTTATTGTTAACCAGCTGGCTGCGTGGATCGTCTTCTTTCTTCAGTTCATCAGACTCCTATTTTTCTTTTAAAAGCGAAAGGGTGGGTGTAGTATGTCTAGCAATTGATATATCAGGTTTTTAATATTATAAAAGTGAAGAATATGTATACGTTTCCACGATTGACTTTCATGAACGTTGAAAGACGAACGTCTTGTCGAGGTCGTCGCGCCATACTAACAGAATCTACTTCTGAGCTTTCGGCAGGTTGCTTACAAATGCTTGGCAATCTTCGTCGCGCACCTAAAATGCAGCTCTTTGAACGACCTTTTCAGGCAACAAAATCAAGCCCGGCGAATCTGTTTTCCGAAAGATCTAAGCTGAAATTGGACTTAGCTAGGAGATTAATCAAACCTGAACTGAACGTTGATGAGAACAACTTTGACGAAACAATTTTCATCCCTCATTCTAGCAAATCACAAGTGAAAGAAATTTCAACTGTCAGCAAAGACAGAAATGTAGGAAAAACGACGAAAGCGACCAGCAAACTCAATGGCGTGCATGTATCGCACGGAAGTTCAATAATTGCAAATATACAGAAAGAGAAATCGATTACGAGAGACAGATGGAAGATCTTGGAAGCTAGACAATCTTTGAAAGATCGAAATATCAAAGATTCGTTTAGATCATCCACAATTAAAAAGAGTCAGATACCCACAGAAAGAGCAATCGTATCTTCATCTGTAGAAGGAACATCGATGAGCAGTATCACTAAATCTAATATTATACCACGCAGAATTACGATTTCGCGTCGCGGTACCATATCCGTGGAGGAAACGACCGCCACGACTATCGATACGACAAAAGTTCGATCTTCAATGTTGCAGAGTACCATGGTGCCGCGAGAAGAAACGTCAACGTTGGCAAATATGATAGAAACTCTTGACAAGAACAATATCGTTACAACCATCGAACCACTAAAGTTAGATGAAACATCTATCGAAATAATTAAGTCAGATAAACAAGAACGCAATAATAATGACATACAAAAGGAAACTGCTGTGACATTGGACAATACGTCAGTTACGGACGCGTTAATAGAATCTATGAACATTTACACTACGGAATTCGCTCACGACATAACACTGTCACCAACGGTTACCACGCCGAGCAGCATTCATTCGTCGACGACGGAGTCAAAGAAGCTATATCCCGTTTATATTCCTGATGCAAAAAAATATGACTTGTCGGAAAACAAGAGTAGCACGAAATTTGTGAGTGATGCGAGCAAAAGTGTTTTTCAGCCTCGTTATACAAAACAACAGGAACCAGACAAAGTGGCGATTTCTATGGTAACATCAATGACCGTCGGACCCACCAGCCGATACATTAGAAAAAAATCGGGCGTCTTCACACCATACGACACCGTTCCCAAGCCGTTTAGCACAGAGGCGACATGTACACAGATGAAACACAAGGAGTTCCGTCCGCGAACGGCAACTTATAGGAGGCATTCCGAAGTACCAACTAGCCAATTGATGATCCAACAATCAACTAAGGCGGACAAAGAAGTGGCTGCTGATTTCATCACCATAACATCAAAACCGACTAAGTACAATGCGCATGTCGTCACAGCAAGAAATCATTCCGATTCCTCCGAACCGCTCGTTAGTGTGAAAATCGATACTTCAAATGACAGCATGCCGCTGATATTCACTGAGAGCAGCAACAGCAACAGCAGCGCCTCCAATATCTTCAATCCCACTAAAAGCGCGATTTTCAGCAAGAACACCACTACATTATTGGAGCAACTACGAAGTACTGTGGCACCGCTCTTGAACTCTTTAAGTGAAAAAACTCCCATTTTTTCTGGAGCTTATTCCAACGTGAATATCGGGGTGAGTATTTTTATAAATTTCAAAAAATCATCCGATAATGTTTAAGAGATGAGCATGTTTCGAGATATATGTATGTATTACACATATATGTGTAATATATACAAAAGTTGCATTTTACATGGTATTTATTTTTTAAAAAAGCTTTATTTCTATTAATTAATCTTAAAATAATTTAATATAAATGTGAAAAAAATTTATTAAAATGGTTTAATCGATTTGTGATGCTAATATTATGAGCAGGATATTTATTTATATCTATAAATATAAAAATAATATAAAAATATATAATTATTATATAAATATATGCAGCATAATAACATTTAATAAATATAAATTTATTTACATTTATAAAGACTAATAGATTTCATATGCAGAGTAGGCCAAAAGTCTGGATATACAGGGTGTCCCAAAGCACCCTTGACAACGCTCGTGAGCAGGTAGAGCACAGTAAACTGAACAGAAAAGCCGGACGCACGTCAGTGAGCCGCCCGTCTGTTAGTGTGCGTCGCCGTAGCGACGGAGCACTCACGCACACTATCAGGCGCGCGGCTAAAGATCGACGCTAATTAGCCAGACTTTACTCAATAATAACTCCTTTATTAAGCGTTATAGAAAAAAATGTTACAGAACTTTTCTGTTCAGTTTACTGTGCTCTACTTGCTCACGAGCCTTGTCAAAGGTGCTTTGGGACACACTGTATACCTTGATAACTTTAGAATGAATAGAGATAGAGAATTGAAATTTTGAGAGATTTATGGAATTATATAAAAGCTATCTTTTGACCACGCGCCCACCTCAACCCTCAAGGAATAAAAGGGTGGAGATGGTTTAAAAATCATATATAACATGAAAGGTTGAATGTGTACTCATTTGAAAGTACTTTTAAAGGCGAGAAAAATGGCTTTTGAAAGAGTTTGCTGCGACCTCCCAATCTAAAGTTTTGGTCATGTAAACAAAAAGATAGCTTTTATGATCCAATAAAATTTTATAGACCCTTAAAATTTCAACTCTCTACATCTGTACATATTAAAGTTATCAAGATTTATTCAAATTTTTGGAATCTATATGTCAAGATCAAGATGATCGGTGTTGTGTGGTTTTTGTAAAGAATTACCTTTTTCTTGTATAAACAGAATTCCGCTCCTAGGATAACGCCCAACGGTTCTCCACCCAGATTTAGCGCAAGATACAAAGGAGCGGAATTATTTGTAAGAAAACCATCAATTGATCAAGTTGTAATACCATCGATCACAACATCATCGACTACGGCTTCGACACTGATAGAGGTAAGACTTTTAAGGATTTTGGATAGTATCTAATAATGACATTTTGAGGACAACTAAAGCTTTTATTGTTTATTAATATTGTAACTACTATTTGATTGGGTAATTATTTGGAATAAGGCCTTTTCCGAAATTTTATATTTTCTTGCGGTTCTTAGGGTAAAAATCTTTATTGTGACTCCAACAGTGATAATCAGTCGGGGGAGCCCGTCCCTCATCACCCCCACCCTCCCCAAAAAAACCGAAAAATCCCAAAAATTACCAAAGCAAAGCGAGGTCCACCCCACAATTGTTGTGTGGATGGGAAAGTGTATGCGTGGATGCAGTGGGTTCCGCCCCCCCCCCTTACGAGGGGCTCCACTTCCGGAAGATATAACTTAACCCAAACCTACTTCTGATTTAAAACTAAAATTTGGTTTGGGTTAGGTTATATCTTCCGGAAGTGGAGTCCCCCGTAGGGAGGGCGGAACCCATTGCGTCCACGCATACACTTTCCCATCCACACAACAATTATGGGGTGGACCTCGCTTTGTTTTGGTAATTTTTGGGATTTTTCGGTTTTTTTGGGGGGTGGGGGTGATGGGGGACGGGCTTCTCCGACTGATTATCACTGTTGGAGTCACAACAAAGAGTTTTATCGAAAGATACGATCATATTTGTCAAAATTCAGAAAAGGCCTTATTCCAAATAATTATCTTTGATCGCAATATTATGTACATAATCGAATACAAAGTGATAGTTTATAAACTTTCTAATTTCAATATTAAGCTTTAATGCCTTTAATAGTTTTATTGACAAATGTCAACACGATTCTCATTTTAATACGTAATAATATTACTGATAATTATTCTATAATAAGTTATTATAATCATAACGCGATATACATACATATATATGTATATACAGGGTGTCTCACGACCTACGTACAATATTTTAATAGCGTATTCTAGAGACAAAATGGAGTAAAAAATCTTAATACAAAGATATCGAGGCTACAATAGTTTTTGAGTTATAAGTGATCGAAGTTTGCCAATAACATTGCGTAGAACTCGCGCCCTCATGCTCCTAACTACATTTTCACACATACTAAACTATCATCTATTATTGCTGACAGATAAAATAAATAAATTTTTACAAAACTTCTCCGCGCGATCAAAACAAAAATAAATTTTGTTTTTTAAATGTGTGAAAATATTAAGTTTATATTTCTGCTTAAATATAATAATTAATCAACTATTTAAATTGTTATTTAAGAAAAAATTAAATATTTTACGTACAACATTTATAGCAAAGAGAATTAGAGTGGAAGGTCCCATAAGAGCGTAATGTATTTTTGCGTATACAGCAAATTATTAAAGTAGGAAAAAAAATAATAATCTATACACAAAATTATAAATTTTATTTTATGAAAAATACAGTTAACTATATAAATTTTGTCATCTTTGCGAAATTATTTTTATTTTTTTTCATTGCAATATTTCGTTTCATCATACGTGCTTCTCAATGGCATCTTATTTTTATAAACATATATAAGAAAGAATTTGAAAATTCTGGGCAGCATAATTGCACAATTGGACAGTTATGTGTTAAAATGTCTGTTATTAATTTTCCTACATTTTTTTATGAATGATATTTTGAATAATGCATTTAAATTGTTTTTCTCAATCGTGAGTCTGATGCCCAACTATATATCTCCCATTCCCGATATTGCGCGATATCTGAATTCATATTGATGGATGCATTCATTTCTACAGTTTAAGTTTGCATTAACAAGAGCAATCAATGTCACTTTTGATCAAAATGAAATATGTTACATAATAAACTTTAATAGTTGCAATCTTTTATAGAAGAGAAAAAAATAGAAAAATTTTTAGAAAAATTATATTTAATTATTTTATTCTATAATATAAGAAACTCTTCTGTGAAAGTTGTCTGCATATGTTTTCATTAACGTAAATAATTTGTGATCTCCATATTCTGCATTATTATTAGAAACTAATAATTCTTCACATATAGTGTATGCATGATTGGCAAGAAACTTTTTCACCAGAAATCCACTTATACAGGGTGTCTCGCAACGTGATGTCCACACTGAAACTGTGTATTCTTTGTGTCATTCTAAGTCAAAAAGTCTTCATACACATATGCCCTAAAGTCGCTTGTTTCGAAGTTATAGCGAAAAAATGCAAAAGTAGTTATTTCTCACACTAATGCGAGAAAAGCACCTTTATGACTTACCTTACCGCACTAGTAGTGCGGAAATAACAGGCATTACAAAAAATATTGTATGTATGGCATATGCGGAAGACAACGAACTACGTCGCGTATGAAATTGCCGCATGAGCTGAAGCGATGCATACTCGACATAATTCATTGTTTTCCACACTTGCCACACAAGATAATATTAATAAATTGACTGTCGTTTTAAGTGAAAACATCGCATAAACATAGCTTAGAAATTTCTCTTACCTACCAATCATGAGTACATTTTCCAATGAAGAATATGCCGATATTCATTTTATTTATGGTTTCTGTAATGGTAACGCACGTGCAGCAGTAACAGAATATCACCGACGGTTTCCTAATCGCAGAGTACCAGATCAAAGAGTTTTTAGCAATGTCCACCGAAGCATTAAATTTACTGGTAAGGTCCCAAATAAAAATCTTGAGAGACCATTAAGGCGACATCGTCAAGTCGAGGATGCGATACTAGCAACGGTGGACAGAACTCCTACTATTAGTATCAGAAGACTTTCGGCGCAAACTAACGTCTCTAAAACGACAATTTGGAAAATACTGCGTGATTAAATAATATTGTTCTTATTTTATGCAATTTTGTTTTTTCGCTATAACTTTGAAACAATCGACTTTAGGGCATATGTGTATTAAGACTTTTTGACTTAGAATGACAAAAAGAATACACAGTTTCAGTGTGGACATCACGTTGCGGGACACCCTGTATAATAAATAGCATTCGATTCTGTGAATTGTTTGGTTTCAGAGTCTATACATTGAGATTCATTTAATTCTTCAAGATTTATATTTGTTAATGTTAAAATCGATGAAGTTTGTTCATTATTTGTTCTTTGGTTTTGTTTATTAGATTGCATTGTGTGTTTGAGTTGACTCAATTTTGTAAAAATATAATATTTATCTGTTTCGGTTACTATGATTTGATACTTTTGATAATTGTGTAATGAAAATATATCGTAAGCCAGCTTGAAATTGTTTTGGGGATGGATTGACAGAACATCCATGCTGTTGTCTTATAACAGAAAATAAATTTTCTAATGGATATTGATTTAATTTTCTAGTGCAAAATTCATGAATATCATAATTCTCGTTTAAATTTTTAAATAACTGTAGAACTGAATTTATTGTTAATAAAAAACCTTTTTTACAAGCTAGTTGTGGCCCAATTTCAAATCTACTTTTTTCTAAAACTTCTAAAATATTTTGTAAAAATTCTGTGTAAAAGTTCTGTATCTTTTGTAAAAGCGTAATTTAATTTGTTAGGCACTGTTTTTTTTCTTTAAAGAATAATTTAGAGTATCAAATGGTTTATCCATGTCTATAATAAATTGTAAGGTTGTGTTATTATCTTTGCGAAAATATTCTGAGAACGTAGTTTTATATACTAAGTATGCAGTATACATAGATTCTGAAAAAAATTTGTGTTGCTAAGCTAACTTTCATTTTCGAAAAGTGTGTTAGATTAAAATGTTTATTAGAAATCTTCAGTATTAAATTTAAAGGATTTTCTTGGCTAGGTTTATATATTTTTTCAATGTGTTGCCAATCAACTACACCATTTTTGTATAATAACTTTTTCGTTCTGACATTATTTCTCATTGATTTAATTAAATGAGGCGGATCGCAAATAATATATATTTTATGTCCATTTTTTTCAAAATATGGTTTCACGGGAGTAATTAATAGCTTTTTTATAAACCTTGATTTCTTGGTCCTTGATCCGAGATAATACATTTTACTATTAATCCTATTTTCATGATGGCTTCTACAGTTGTTAACATACCCAGACAGCACAAAACGTCCTCAGGATCATCCTGAATATGTCCAGGATGGTTCAGGATATATAATATTATGCGTTTTATTTGCATTGTCTCTACTGCCCAGAAACCAATATCCTAATACTTGTCTTATATTTGAATGAATCCATATAATCATACATATAAAAGCACTTTTTGCTTCTATTGGTTCACATATGGTACCATCATCAGCTAAGCCAATAATTTCATCAGTATATGAATCATAATGCACTTCTGCCATAAGATTAATTCCATCAAATAAAAGTGATACAACTTGGTTTTTTATTGGAACATTTTCAAACTTATATTTTAATTCTGATAATATTATTTCATTTAATCCAATACGGATAGGAAATCGTTTTTGATACTCCTGAAGTGTTCGTTCTGATGGTAAGCTTATGATCTTTTTTAAAAGCTGATATGTTTTTGGGGAATGATATAAAATAGATAACGCAATATCTTTGAAATTATTATCATATCTCTTTCCATATTTATTACGTATTGATAAACATAACTGCGTTTTCAATAAAATACGTGCCTTTTTAGGAAGAAATACCGCATTCTCTTCTATTAATTTTTGAATTCTTACTTTATTTCTTTTATATTGAATTTTATTATTTTTTATTTTCCCTAATCTATTTATTTTACTTCTCAATGCTGCTATGACTTTTTTTTGTTTTCTTAATCTTAATGTCTTAGGAGTTAATATTAATTGCGAATTATACTTATGATCCACATATTGATGAATATTTGTATGGCATGACTGTTAATCTTTAGAACAATTTGGCATATCATTTTTTCTTAAAAATGTCACTGTAGAAACACTTGGAAATTCAGATACATTGCAGCTTGTTGATGTACTTATAGAATTTTGAACTTCTTCCTGGGCTTCATCTTATAATATACAAAGATTGATTGGTTAGATGTAATATCAATTGATTAGTCAGATATACA